TCTTGGCAAAGATACTGGAGTGGAATTGCCGGTTCCTACCCCAGGTGAATTGCGTTTAGTCAGAACTCTCCACTATGACCTGTCCGTCTTGGGTGGCCCTGCACGGCATAGCCCATAGCTTCTCTGAGTTACTCAAGCCCCCTCTACCTAATAGAATCTCTAGTTCTATTGAAAATCTAGTTAGTTGTGTTTTTTTTTTGTTTTTGTAGAGGAATTATATCTTTTGGTGATGGCTGGGGTTTTGAAATGATTGATTATGTAAAGTTGTCTTATTTTGCTTTCTTAAACAAATTTCTTTCTAATCTTTCTATTTTTCTAATAAAATTCTAAAAATGCTAAATGTCTGGAAGTTGGCTTCTTGGATAGACCATAAGCTACAATAGTTAATTGGCTAATTTAAATTGATGTGCTCAATACGGCCACGTTTACTTAATGCTACCAATTTGGGGTCCTACATATTAAAGAGTACTAGGATGATTAGATCTCCTAGAACTCCTGTAAGCGTTTTGTTCTGTGTTAAATCGGATCAGACTTGGGAGAAAGATTGATTCAGCTGCCCTAGGGTAAAATTACAGGACCCGGTTTTGCCTGATAAGGAGCTGATCATTCCGGACCCTCTCTGTTCCGTGGAAAAGCAGTTTCTTCGGAAGCTAGCTTTTCTGACAATCTCCATCGTCATCAACATATGACCTGTTAGTTTTATCCCATTAGTATCTGTATCTACTACTTTAGAAATTAAACTTTGAGATATAAACATATAATCTATTCTAGAATAACTATTATGTACAAAGGAATAATTAGTAAATTTTCTTTCACCTCCCTTCAATTCTCTCCATATACTGTATCTTTTAAATCCGTAGTTTTCAATATCCTGCTTACTAGGGTACTTCTTTTATTCAATTCATCTTTTTTACATACAGTTTTATCCTTTATCTTATCTAAAAAAATTATTCATAAATGATATATAGTTTTTTTCTGTCACTGTTAGTTAATGCGCAAACTGGTGGTATATGCCACTTGCAGCCCTTCATTCCTTCCTTTTTAAATGTTCACTTCCTGATTCCTTTCTCCACTTTCTGTTTTTATTTTTTCCCCTTTTCCTTCTCTCCTTTTCCCACTTTCCCTTGCTTACTTTACTCAATCATCCCTTTTCCTTATTTTTCTCTCAGTTCTTGGCTTTCATTTTTCTTTTCCTCTTTGAACAGCACCAGCAGCAGGAGCAAGCAGGTTTAAAAAGACCTGCAAAGTATTGTGAAGAGCAGATGTTTTTTTAAAAAAAGACAGAGACGTTAATGTGACACTTTATTTCTCCCCTTAAACTATTCCAAGTAGGAAATGTTCCTCTCTCTGCTCAAGCCCTCTTTCCCTTTCCCTTCCTTAAACCCACAAGGGAGGAGGGGAATGTTGTATTCTTCTGAGCAATGTATTTCTGTTGTTGCTACTGCAGCAGCAAGCAATTTATCAATAAGCATTAAAGGGGGGGTACAAGCGTGATGGCCATGCAGTGGCCACAGCACCCAAAAAGCTGACCCTTTTGCAAAGTAAATAAATCAACAGTAATGTTCTCACACACTAAAACTATAAGTGATACAGGACCAGTACATTTTAAAACAACCATGTTTGTGAAGTTGGCCTAATGCCAAGAAAGGCCTGGTGGGGAAAAAACAGAAATCAGCCCTTCTCAACAGTGGCCCCTCACCTTTGGAACAACTTACCTGATGAGATCTGCCTGGCTCCCTCACTGAGGGCCTTCAAGATTAACTTGAAGACTATACTATGGCTATATAGGCAGGCCTTCCCTACAGCCACTACCTAGCCTATTTATCCTCTTCTTCTTCTTCTTCTTCTTCTTCTTCTTCTTCTTCTTCTTCTTTCCCCTCTTTCTTTTTTTCCTTTCCCATCTTGGATTAATCTCGATTTTATCTTAGCTTATTTTTATATTATATGTAAACTGCCCAGAGTAGACACGTTCTATATGAGTGGTATATAAATCTAATAAATACATAAAAAATAAATAAAGTTGGGGGGAAAAACCACAATTAACTGGCTAAATGAACTGATGTTACCAGTGCATTATGTGAATAAACATTTTAAAATGATTTAAATAACAGCATAATTTATATAACTGAGATTCTTTTGGAACATATGATTGAGCCCTAAGTTACATGTGCAACTCACCAACAGAATTCTGTATAATATAAGCCTTAAAATGGTACCCATTTTCAATACACAACTAAATTAATAGCTTCCTGTTTAGTCAAGATTCCAATCTGAAGTATAGTCAAAATACATGGTTTGGAATACATGAAATTTTAATAATTTAACATTTGCAAGATATATTTGGTTTTAAGAAAATCATAAGGAATGTTTAGATTGTGTTTGAAGATTACACACTAATTTTAAAATAAGAAACATATGACTATACCGTTGCATAATAAAGATAAAAATTGCTAATATATTATTATAATTTTCTTTTACACTTTTTAAAACCAGTTCTTTTAAAGCTATGTATCCAATACTCTTTCTACAAAGTAGTGAAAGTACTGATATTGTTCTGTAGATTCCCCTTTGGTTTGGGAAAATGTTTCATGCTACTTGAACATTCACCTTGAACTACTTATCCATTTCCTTAGCTGAGCAGAGAAGGGACAGGTCAAAGCCTCTAATCATGTGACAGGATATAGTTGGTGTGGCAGACTTTTTTATGGTGGCATTCTTGCCTTTGGAACCTTTTCCCTGCTACCTAGTCATTTTGGCACCAGGCAAAGTCCTTTTTATCTTAGAAGGTTTTCAGAACACTCAACCCTTTTAATCCTGGTTTTATGCAGCTTTTACTGCCTTTTTAAAGTGTTGTTTCTTATACTGTTTTTCTATTTTACCATATATATATTGTTATATCATTATGTAAACTGCTCTAATAAATTTGAATTGAAGGGTAGGTAAAATGTTGGTAAGCTTGAAACATTATAGGGGACAATTTAGTAAACATGCAATTGTTTAACAGTTCTGTTAAGTAAATGAGATATAAATTCAAACATATTTAGGTTTCCCCTAAATGTTTTAATGTTTACAATATCCTTTTATTGAGACTTTGATCATTAGATGATGTAATGGTTGCTAACTAGTAGAGGAAACAGATACTGTAAAGCTAAGCACTTCTAAAATTCTTTGATTCCAGAGAGAGAATCTGGTGCATGCTTAAATTTTCTGCAGATGAAATCAATGAGATGCCCTCTACTTGGATTACATTTTTGCCCTTGTTCACTTAATCTGCTGTTACCCTCTATGTATTTGTATTAAGAGAAAAATTTACTATTTGGGGATATACTTGCTTACTAACAAGAAGTCTATCTTTAATCTTGCCCCCTGGTATTTTTCATTAAATATTTAAATACTGAAAAAAGCAACGCTTAAAAGAGAGAGTTTTGTATAACACCACATGTACTTTTTCTTTTAAGCCTACATGAGAAATCTTTAATGCTTCAAGGTCTGCATCAGAAAAGTATTATAGTCGTTCTGCATAGAATGATTTGCCAAGGTGATTCAGTTCCAGCTGGTATTGCAGATGCTCAGTACTTAGGAGATGACGTAAAGCTGCTCGACGAACCTGCCAGATATGAAAATGCCATAAACAATTCATTCTTTGTTGCTTCTTTGGGGTTTCAACAAGTCTGAATCATCTATTTGCCAATACCCTTGTCCTGCTATTCTACGTTCTATTGTTACCTCTGTAAATATTCATAATGACCTCTGTCAGGAACACCTTCCCACTAAGGAACACTGCTCCTTCGGTCAGAGAGTCTCCAGGCCTTTATGTACTTCCTTTATACTGAGCTAAGTCCAATCAAGCACCAGTAGAGCTTAGCATAAGCCCCTTCTAGCAAGTCTGACCTAAAGAGGACACTTCTGCACTTACTTAGCATTTAGCAATAATGGCAACAAGGAAAAAAAAAATACCTGACTTTTAAAACATCTAACAAAAATTAAAATAGTAAAATATTAATAATCATGTATTTTGTTGTTTAGTCGTTTAGTCGTGATTGACTCTTCATGACCCCATGGATCAAAGCACACCAGGCCCTCCTGTCCTCCACTGCCTCCCAGATTTGGGTCAAATTCATGTTGGTAGCTTCAATGACACTGTCCAATCATCTCATCCTATGTCGTTCCCTTCTCCTCTTGACTTCACACTTTCCCAACATCAGGGTCTTTTCCAGGGAGTCTTCTCTTCTCATGAGATGGCCAGTATTGGAGCCTCAGCTTCAGGATCTGTCCTTCCAGTGAGCACTTAGGCTTGATTTCCTTTAGAATGGATAAGTTTGTTCTCCTTGCAGCCCAGGGTACTGTCAAGAGTACCTCCTCCAGCACCACAATTCAAAAGCATCACTTCTTTGGTGGTCAGCTTTCTTTATGCTCCAGCTCTCACTTCCATACATCACTACTGGAAAAACCATAGCTTTGACTATTCAGACTTTTGTTGGCAAGGTGATGTCTCTGCTTTTTAAGATGCTGTTGAGGTTTGTCACTGCTTTCCTCCCAAGAAGCAGGCATCTTTTAATTTTGTGGCTGCTGTCACCATCTGCAGTGATCATAGAGCCCAAGAAAGTAAAATCTGACACTGCCTCCATATCTTCCCCTTCTATTTGCCAGGAGGTGATGGGACTAGTGGCCATGATCTTAGTTTTTTTGATGTTGAGCTTCAGACCGTTTCTTGCACTCTCCTCTTTCACCCTCATTACAAGGTTCCTTAATTCCTGCTCACTTTCTGCCATCAGAGTGGTATCATCTGCATATCGGAGGTTGTAGATATTTCTTCCGGCAGTCTTAATTCCGGCTTGGGATTCCTCCAGTCTGGCCTTTCGCATGATGTATTCTGCATATCATAATCATGTATACATTTAAATAAAATGAACTTTAGTGAACCCAATAAAATTCCACAAGAATTAGGAACTACTGTGTAGTTTATTTAATTGGACAAAGTTTGTTTTCTTTCACGGAACAAAACTCATTCAGCCATAAAGACGGAAGCCTTATATACAAAGACTGCTTAGATCCTTGTAGAAGAAATTTGTGTTTGTCTTCAAGCTCCCACTTTCTCATGTGGCCAATAATACTCCCTATAATTGGCAGAAAACCAGTGATCCAGTGAATAGAAGTCTAGGTCTTCCCCTTTGGTTGTCCAATATGTAAAATCTTCCATTAGAGTGCCTGAAATCTTCATTGTAACATCATCAGATTCACTGCTCAAAATGAAGCTGAGTGGAGACCATACATCAATTTTTCTCATTGGGAAAAACAAGCATTTTGACCCCAATCTTGGGTCTCAAGTTTCACTATCCACTTCATAACAGCCAGTATGGTGTAGTGGATATAGTGGTAGAGTAGAACCCCAGAGATTGGGCTGAAAACTATGGAAATTGGTTGTTGTGGGTTTTTCGGGCTTCTTGGCCATGTTCTGAAAGTGGTTCTTCCTAATGTTTCGCCAGTCTCTGTGGCTGGCATCTTCAGAGGACAGAAGATGCCAGCCACAGAGACTGGCGAAACGTTAGGAAGAACCACTTTCAGAACACGGCCAAGAAGCCCGAAAAACCCACAACAACCATTAGATCCCGGCCGTGAAAGCCTTCGCAAATACACTATGGAAATTCCTGAGGGGTGGCAATTGTGAACCATAAACATCTCACATACCTTGAAAATGCTATTGGGGTTATCATAAGCTGAAAGAAAATTGGGGAAATGTACATAGTAACAGACATTTCATAGAGTTTACATTCAACAGGTCACCTATTTTCAGTTACGCTATAATACTCTTCATTTAAAACAATTTCTTATATTGAACCTGGGAGAACTTAAGCAGCAGTAGGCATCAGACAAAAGACGAACCATAAGGAAACTTTAAAACCATTTATTTTTTTAAAAAAATGATTTTTCATTTGGTAAGGGAAGATCATAGGGAAGGGGATTTGGATCAGGGTATTGGGGTAAATAAATAATACAGAATGTGATAGAGAACAGAAATTCAAATTATTACAATTGTCGATATGTTTCTTACTAAGCTTACTTCACACATCATTTTTTTCCAAGTCTTTAAACTCTAAAATTAAATCTTATATTTTCTTTTTCATAATGTTAACCCATTCATGTTCTCATCTTTCATCCAGTTATACAAAGGTTTCCACTTTTTTCTAGCCTCAGCAATTTCTTTGTCTTTTAATACTTCAGTTAAAATAACCATCTCTGCTGCCTCAAGAATTTTTTCTATTAACTCCTAGGCTGTTTAAGTCTCCTTTTTTTCCAGCATTTGGCATATAAAATTCTTGCTGCTGCAGTTACATGTATGATGAAATATCTTTTTTCTTTTTCTATCGAGTCTGGTATTATATTCAACAGAAACAATTCAGGTTCATATGGAATTATAGAGGATAACATTTTTTGTAAAAACTCATGGACTAGTTTCCAAAAGCTCTTAGCTTCCCTACAAGTCCACCACATATGATAAAAACTACCTTCTTTTGATTTGCATTTCCAACATTTGTTAGAGGTACTTTGATATATTTTCAATAATTTTTCAGGTGTCATATACCATCTATAGAACATCTTATAGATATTTTCTTTATAATTAATTGCTTTTGTTAGCTTAATATTACGTTCCCATAGTTGTGACCATGACTTTAAGTTAATATTGTGGCCCACATTTTGGGCCCATTTTATCATACATTCTTTAACTATTTCATCTTGCATTTTAAATTCTATTAGGTAATTATCCAATGTTTTAATCAGTTTTTCCTTTACATTCAGAAGTGTTTTATACAGTGGTGTCTGTTGCTTACAAAATCCTACTGCTTTATCTCATGTATATCTTGAATCTATTTGTGTTTCTGTCCACCAATCAAGTATTGTACCTTGTTCTTCTAGTTTTTCCCTTGATTTCATACTCATGTCCTCTTTTAACAAATCTCTATCTCAAGAGTTTCTTCTTTTCCATTAATGCTGGTTGTATAAATGCTTCAGTTGAAGAGATCCATTCAGGAACTTTTTGGTAATTTTCTTCCTGGATCTTGGTCCATACCCAGTTTAAGTTTCCTTATCAGATGTTTCTTAAATTGTTTATTGTCTTTTGCTGTTTCATACCATAGGAAGGCGTGCCATCCTAGATTTAGATCATGTCCTTCTAGTTTTAATATTCTATCATTTTCTAAAACTATCCATTCCTTTATCCAAACTAGAGCACAGGTTCTATAATATAAAATCCAATCTGGAAGTCCAAAGCCTGCTATTTGTTTTGGATCTTGAAGTGCTTTGATTTTTATTCTAGATTTTTTCCCTTGCCAGACAAACTTTATTTTTTGTTAATGTCCCTATTGAATTTGTGTTTCCACCATTAATATTCTTCCATCTTGTGTTGCATGGACCAATTTAGGGTTTAATTCTTTCCTTACATAGACAGCCAATCCTCTCTTTTGATGCTGTAAATATTTCTCCCATTTTTTTTATTTTGAAATAACTTATTGTCTGTTAGCCTTATATGTGTTTCTTGTCGACAAATCACATCCAATTTTAACTTTTGTAATTGTAGGAAGATCCTTTTTTTGTGGGGCATTTAATTCATTGATATTGACTGAAAAGAATTTCTATTGGTCCATATTCATTAGATTTGGTTTTAATATCTGTTTTTCCTTTTCTTTTCTTAGCACCTCTTGTCTGTATCCTTGACTTGTTTTCTATTTATTCTTCCTCTCCTGTTTCTGAATCTGTTTCTTCTTCTGATCCTGACTCTTCTATTTCAGAACTTTGCTTTTTTCCCCTTTTCCTTCTCTGGCTGTTTCTCTTTCTTCCCCTTCTTTTCTGATTCTTTCCCTCTTTTCTCCAAAAATTCATCTGCTTTGGGGTATTTATAAAGTATCTTTGTGTCTGGAATTGAAAAATAAGCCCTTCTGGAGTTAGCCACCTATATATTATTGCCTTTTGTCTGAGATAGTTTGTCAGATGTTCATATTTCTCTCTGTTTTGTCATATTTTCCAAAGAATCTGCTTCAAAATCTTACATTCTTTTCCTTTTATCTCTAATTTCTTTCCTTGAATAGGTATCAGAATTGTATTTCTAAATGTGGTTGTTAAAAAATTAGCAGGTAGTTTTTAACATGTAATCTGGGTAAGTATTACCCACAGTATTACATACTGAGAGTATGGCTTAATAAGAAGCTGACGGCATATACCAAGATCCAGGTCTATAGAGCCTGTGTCCTCGGTATACTCCTGTACTGCAGTAAGTCCTGGACCCTTTGTGCATGGCAGGAGAGGAAGCTGAACGCATTCCATATGCGTTATCTCCGATGCATTTTGGGTATCACCTGGCAGGACAAAGTTCCAAATAGAGTAGTCCTAGAATGAGCTGGAATTTTTGCATGCATTTATTACTGAAACAGCAATGTCTACGCTGGTTTGGGCATGTCGGGAGAATGGCTGATCGTCAGATTCCAAAGGATCTCCAGTATGGAGAATTAGTACAGGGAAATTGCCCCAGAGGGAGACCACAGCCGCGATACAAGGATATCTGCAAGCGGGATCTGAAGGCCTTAGGAATGGACCTCAGCAGATGGGAAACCT